TGCACGTCACCTGGTCGTCTGAACCAAGGTCTGCTCTGCATCTTGTCTCCCATCACCATGAAGTACGTTGCCCTTGCCTCAGAGATCGACAACCCCATAGTCGGTCGCTGAGGATTGCATACCCCTATCCATCTAGTTGGTTCTCTTGGATCCAGGAAGGTTGGAAATACCTAAACCCCTGCGCCGCCATCTCAATTCCTTTCCCTCTCTGCGATGCATTGACTGTCTTATGTTCACCTCAACTGGGTATACAAACTGGGTTTGTATTAATGCAGTTTAGATGTCCTTAAAGAAGCTAGTTGTTAGTTGAAAAATAAATGTTGTAGGATGAGAGACGATGGGTGTGTGATTGGGTGAGCTTTGAAAATAAACGTCACAATGAGTTATATAGCCCGGTTCTGATGTGGTGTAATCCTCCTACATCGAGTCCCATCCTCTTTCAGATGGATTTCCACCATGTTATTCAGCCCAATACACTTAGTGCCCGATAAAGCCTTGATCACAGGACAAGATTGTCAGGTTTTCACAAGGAGTTAAAACACCACTCTAAGCTACTCTATCCTTAGGTGTTTCACTAATGAACCCAACTGGTTCACAAGCTACTCAGTTGTCGATTACACTTTGTCGATAACAAAGATTTACAGATTGTCGTTTACAAGGTAATTCTAACCTCCCAACTATGATTTTGATCTAAAAATATATCTTGAATGAACTTATCTAAGAGCTTAATAAGTGTGAGTGAGCTTAAAGCAAAGTGATAGATTAACACTTTCTCTTTGCTAGATCTTTGTATTGATTGGTCTAGCTTAGTTTCTTTTTCTGCTTCACACTTCTTCTGTGTTTATAGAAAATTTGTTGTTGTATATCTCTCGTTGGCTGAGGAGATTGAGTCTTCACAGTTGATTGATCCACTTGGTTTGACTATTGAGGAGCATGGACTTATTTTGTTTTAATACGTCGTGTCTGCAACCCTTCTTGTATTTATACTATCCCTTTACAGTAGAAAAGTATTTCGAGAAGTATGGGTTGGATATACAAAATCCTTTGCCATATTTCCCTTTTGATTTCCAGACAATTATTTTATCTGGCTCATAAATACATCTAATACTGTTTGAGGTCCGTAGAAAAATATATAGAGGCCATGTTTTGTTCGCAATGTGTAGTAACATTTTTCCCAAACCTTTGTATAAAAGCCATGTTTTGACTTTTCTTCAAGAGAAAAAGTTGTAGAGAAAATTGTGTTGGTTAACTTTGGTTTGACTAGCGGGGTTAGGTTTTGAGTGTTGGCAGCCCGCTAGTCTTGTGCTTGGTAGCCCACAAAAAGAACAAAAAATCCAGTTCTCATTTTTGTACCTTTCTTTTTTTGGTATGCTTTCTCTTTTTAGTACTCTTCTTCTTTTGTTTTCTTTTTGTTTGAGTACTTTTCTTCTTTTTAATGAACTTTGAAAGTAACAGAAATCACAAAATACATCAATTCAGTTTTGGTTAATCTAATACAGGTGCTTCATCAAAATCTAGAGGGATATAACTATTTCCCCCTTTTGATGATGCTAAGACTAAAAATAAAAAAATAGTTCAAAATCTAGGTTGAGCAATGTACTTGTTTTCTTCAAGTATCTTCCCCCCTTTTGGCAACCGCTTGATTTATAGTCGCAGAGTTGTTAGAGGATTCTCATCTTGTTTGTGTTGAGTACTAGATTCTCCATATTCTTTTCTTCTTCTCTTGGAGATGAGTCTTCAAGAATGAGTCCTCTGTTGATCATGCAGTGTTGCATGTTTTTGGCAGAAGATCAATTCAATGAAATGAGGACTAGTTTCCATCCTATATGTTGTATGCCTAACCTATATGTGGAGAGAATGAGCTGATCCTGATGGGACCATGACTAGTTGATCTAGAGATGACCTCACCCTAATCATCATTTTGGCGAATCGTCGTTACGGCTAATCTTGAGGGGACCATGAAGATGATTGCCCCCCCCCCCCCTCCGTCCGGCGTTGCGGAGCGAGAGATGGGGAATGGAGTTCTCTTTCAAAACAATGGACCATTTTTATGCAGAAGGATTGGCTCCTCACCTCCGTCATGTCTAGATCTCGGTTGGGCTCGTTGATCCTTGTTTTGGGATGGCGACTGCCATTTTATGCAACACAATCGGCTCCTTATCGGCGTCATGTCTAATTTTCGGCCGGGCTCGTCGAACCCTGTTCTGGGATGGCGGTCGTCGTTTTATGCAGCCCAGTCGACTCCTCAGCGCTGACATGTCTAGTTCTTGACCGGGCCAGTCGATCCCTATTCTAGGATGGCGGTCGTCGTTTTATGCAGCACTACCGGCTCCTCGGTGCCTTTGTGCTTAGTCTTTGGCTTGGCTCGTCGATCCTTGTTCTAGGATGGTGACCGCTATTTTATGCAGCACGATTTGTTCTGGGTTGGAGACTGTCGTTTTATGTGGCACAATCGACTCCTAAGCGCCATCGTGTCTATACCTCTGCCGGACTCGCCAATCCCTGTTCTGGGATGGAAACCACCGTTTTGTGTAGCACGATCGTCTCCTCGGTGCTATCGTGTCTACTTCTCATCTGGGCTCGTTGATCCCTGTTCTGGGATGGCGGCTGCCAGTATGTAGGAATATCAGCTCCTTAGCAACGTCATGTCTAGTCCTTAGATGGGCTCGTCAATCCCTGTTATGAGATGGCGATTGCCTACTATCGGTCATATTTGTCGATCCCTGTTCTGGGATGGTAACACTGTTTTATGCAGTACGATCAACTCCATAGCGCCGTCATGTCTAGTTCTCGGTCAGGCTCATCGATCCCTATTCCCATACGGCGGCCTCCATTTTGTACAGTACGATCACTACTCAGCGCCGTCATGCCTAGTCCTCTCCCGAGCTCATTGATAACTATTCTGAGATTGCGACCTCCGTTTTATGCAGACGATCATTTCTCATCCATCGTGCATAGTCCTCAGACGGGCTCGTCGATCCCTGTTCTTGGATGGTGACCGCCATTTTATGTAGCAAGATCGGATCCATAGCTCCATCGTGCCTAGACTTTGGCCGGGTTCGCCTATCCCTGTTCTCGGATAGTGACCGCCCTTTTATGCAGCACGATCGGATCCTCAACGCCGTCATGTCTAGTTCTTGGTCGGGCTCGTCGATCCCTTTTCTAGGATGGCATCAACAATTTTATGTAGCATGATCGACTCCTCAACACCTTCGTGCTTAGTCCTCGGCGGGGCTCGTCAATCCCTGTTCACGGATTGCGACCGCTATTTTATGCAGCACAATCGGCTCCTTAGCGCCGTCATGCTTAGTCCTCGATCGGTCTTATCGATCCCTTTTATGGGATGGTGACCGCCATTTTATGCAGCAAGATCGGCTCCACAGCGCCATAGTGTCTAGACCTCGGCCGGGTTCGGCTATCCCTTTTCTTGGATGGAGATCGCCCTTTATGCAACACGATCATTTCTCATCCATCGTGCCTAGTCCTCAGCCAAGTTCGTCGATCCCTGTTCTAGGATGATAATCGCCGTTTTATGCAGCACGATCAGCTCCTCGGCGCCGTCATGTCTAGTTCTAGGTTGGGCTTGCTGATCCCTATTTTGGGATGCCGACCGCTGTTTTATGGAGTATGATTGACTCCTCAAAGCCGTCATGTCTAGTTCTCAGCCGAGCTCACGTATTTTTATTTATGGGACGACAAACACCGTATGATGCAGCATGATCGGCCCCTCAGCGCCATCGTGTCCAATGCAAGGAATACTCATCACATCTCACTTATTCATGCATGCACGGATTGCGGGCAAGGCTATTCGGAGACATAGCTTCAAGGATGATAAGGAAGAATGTGAGCGATAGTATAATTTCTCGAGAAGATTTGCACGCTCGATCACTACTCAAGAAACTGGGGGGGGGGGGGGGGCTTGTGTTGGGATATATCATCCCGCTATGGTTTTGTTTAGGAGCCCAACGCATTATCGCCATGCATGGTCCAATCCGCGAGGCCCGTTTCGGCTCCGGCCTTTTTCGGCCCAGTTGGCCTGTTGCGGTCTGTTTCGACCCATTATGGTAGAAGTGCACCCCTTCCTTTTTTGTTATTATAAATATGAGGTTTATCCTCCGTATTGAGAGTCCTTTCTTTTCTTCTCCACCTTCTCTCTAGAAAGCTTGTAACTCCATTAAAGGCTACTTGAGTCTTGTTCTTGTACAATGTAAATGGTGAGTGAAGTCTAATTGTTAAGACACGGGGTTCCATCCTAAAAGGTCAACCTGATAGGAGGAGTAGCCCATGTGTTAATATAGCACTTTGTTCATCCAAACGTTTCCAGTGTGGGACATTTAGCACCCCTCCTCACTATCACACACTTCGTGTGTATCTTGCAATCATTCATTTTTTTCATCGGTCCATTTTTTTTCATCCGGCCGTTTTTATATCATGTCATCATTTTTCATAAGGGGCCCACACCATGGATCGATTTGGCTCTGATACCATGTTAAGACACGGGTTTACATCCTAAGAGGTCAACCTGATTGGAGGAGTGACCCATGTGTTAATATAGCACTTTGTTCATCCAAACGTTTCCGGTGTGGGACATTTAACACTAATAGAATGAGAGTGGTTTGGATATTAGCTCGAAAAGTCATGTGGTTTACACTATTTCGGGTTTCCATGTTAAAATAGGATGTTCATATATATTATCATACATATTTATATTTACTATTTGATGTTGGATTTATCTCAACAAAACGTTAAGGTATTACTAGTAAAACTCAACAATACGAATGCATCAAGTAGTGCACTAGTGGGTGAAAGAAAAAAAAAACGAAAATCTAGGACAAATATAGCAAGGACAAAAAGATATAGATATATCTTCACACAAATGTGTAGCCAATTACGTTGGGAAACATCTAGGAATGGGACGAGGAATGGACATTACTGTACAGCTAGTAGTGCTTAATATAGCTAGGATGCTACATATTGCTTCACTTCTTTCACGCTTTAGGGAAAACCTCCCTTCGTAAGTTGAAGCCTGCATGTAGTATAATTGTCATCTAAAGTGTGTGCTTTCCACAATTCCACCCATTTTAATTTTTAATCCAATTCATCAAAGCCTCGGTAGTACGGTTTGTAATCTCAGTTTTCTCTCTAGGGTTTCGACTATGTCGGTCGCTGGAGTCTTTTTCCGATTTCGACTTTGTCGAAGATGGGCTTTGTATTCCCTTGGTCGCTGGTGCTCGGCTGGAGTCCAGGTCAAACGCGGAGGGCGGAGATCGGTGGAGGAGGGCGGATTTGCTGTCATGGCTCGAGGAGATCAGCGTTATGATCCAGGTTCGAGGAAGCGGCGTGGCTGTTGTCGTTGGAGAAGATCGGTGACGCCTATCCATTTACTCTGGTCGCACGGAGCAGGGATGCGTTTAGTTATGCAGGGACGGAGGATTGATGCTTGGTCTTTGGCAGCCAAAGGTCATGGAGGATCAATTAGCATGGTACCAGTGGTACGACCTCTTCCTGACCATCACCATGGGATGTACAAGATGCTAGATTTTGTGAAAGTTTTTCTTCTAGTTTTTATCTGCTTGTGATTTGTTTTTTTGTGTCCACTTTTGTTGTTGGTTTTTCAGTTTGTTTGAATTTTTGTCTCTCTTTATGTCATGGGGTATGGTTGGATCTATGAGAACAAATTTGGTTGTGTCAAGCCCACTACATGGTTAGCGATTCGTGTTGCTCTCTCAAAGTCTCACCATAGGGTTACAGTCGTAGTTGTTGGAGTTTCAGTTGGTGGCAGTTTTATTTTCCTTTTGTTTGATGTAATGATCCTGAATATTTTGATATGAATAGAGGCCTGTTTTGATGATTAAAAAAAACAAATTTTAATCCAATTCATAATTATATACAGCACGTACTTCAACTCTCATTTTAAGCGATGCAATTAAATGCCACGAATACCTAGATATTCAACCATTTGGCAAAAAAACAACTAGATATTCAACAATTAAAAATTACATTAGATTTGTTTATTCCCTTGCTCAGCTAACTAGCTCAGAGCCCGTTTGGTAGCATGAAAATCGGCTGTTTTGCTGATTCTGTTGAAATTTATGAAGTTCTGGTTGAAGTGGCTGCATTGGCTGATTCTGCTGATTTAAGAAAAAATTATTTTTAAAATATATTTTACTAATAAAATAAAGAAAAAATTATATGTAAAAATAGCTAAAATGGTCATCTACAATAACTTCAGCCAATACAGCCAGAAAAATAACTTCAACCTTACTTTTTATGCTTATTACACAATTCAGCGCCAAATACAAAAAATATGTGTTTGGTGAAAAAGTTGGTTGATAAGCCTGATAAGTCGAAAAACAGTGTTGCTAAACGGCCTGTTAATTTGTTGGTGTATAACCACATCACATCGCATCGCTGTACTGAAATTAATGAAACAACTTTTCTGGGGATATGTAACGAATTTTCATACACATCTAATTTGACATGATAAACAGTCAGTATAATAAAATAACGGAATTGACACAGATTTTTGATAGAAATTTGTGAAAATATATAGGAGATTTGACTGGGAACCTGGGATATGTCAAATATCTGTCAAATCTGTTTTTGTCTCGAACTATTTGGCACTAAACCCTCGATCAATCCGTGTCAATCTTGTTATTTTTTGTAGTGTGCGTAGTTTACTTCCTACAATTTAGTATGATTTTTTTTGTTATTTATATTTGTATATGGTTTCACTTATTTTTAGAACTAAAAAAAAAGTAACTAGTGGGCGTAGCTCAACTGGTAGCAAGGGAGTGCCACAAGGGTTAAGTCTCGGGTTCGAATCCCGGCAACTGCGATAAGGGGTTACTATGCTGAAAAATGCATATGGCCTCTGCAAGTACCGGGGACAGAGCCCCACTCTCTATTTGTCTGGTTGTGATTATAGTCCAACTTACACCCTTCCATCGGGTGTTGGAGGCCCTCAGGGATGGGGTGTCATCTTTTTTTAGAACTAAAAAAGTACTACCTCCGTCCCAAATTGATTTGCAAATTTGACTTTTCTTGGTCAAACAGTTTCATTTTATTTGCTTAATTAGAATGTCAATTTTTAATTATATTATAATTTGGTGTTTGCAACTTTGAAAAGAATTTAATGTAGTTTCTAAATATGTAAATTTTAATTATTAAAAATTGAGTTAAATATCGACAAGGAGGTTTGACTTTTATTATTGGTTGGCCAAAAAATGTTGACTTTGCAAAACAATTTGGGACGGAGGGAGTATGTCATTGTACATTGTTACTCCGTATAACTTATGGAGTACAAAGCAGATGTACATATACGTAGTACTCCGTATATTATGAAAACATTATCGGATTTGAATGAACTGTGCGGCTAGCCACGAATAGAAAAAGATAGCCTCGATGGTGATCGGTGACATGAACTTCCCAACACTACCCTGTTTTCCCTTAGTTTTTTTGATGATCTAGATGTGGGGCAGTGGGGCTTGAGCTCCCATAACTTTGGAGTCTATGAACTAGACTCCAAAGTTTCTAGACAGTTAAGTCTGGATCTGATCACAGTCATGTCAGCCTTGTCGGTACTGGCTCTTAAAGGACGAATCCAGCAGGACTTACATCACCTGTAAGGCTGTAATCTAGGCTGCTCCTCCCACCACACGAACTCGCTATCTTCATTATCATTCTCTCCCTTCTTAGCCGCTGAGCAACTCCGTGAAGGTAGGAAGAATCATTGGGAGCACACTGTTTGTTTTCCCTTAGCTTTAATTATTTAAACTCGTAGTCTTGTAACAAGGAAATAATGCCCCCTACGACATGCATATGCATCACGGGAAAAATTTAATTACGTGCATAATAATGAAATAAAACAACACCACTTTCTTAGGTCCAATAGCCCTATTTTTCCGGATCATTTAGTTTCTCCCTAGCCGCTTTGCATCGCATAGAGTTTTGACTCTAGCAGCTTTACCATCGTGTAAGATTTTCTTCGGTCAATTTTTTGTGTGGTTCTTCTCCTCTAGACTTCTAGAGTGCTTTTTAAGGTGTGGCTGCAGCTTTTGGAAACGAATCTAAGCTTCAAGAAACGATAATAATATCTTCTATGGATGATCTAGAGAAGCGTTGTCTCATTCCTGCAATTGAGGAGGAGGTCGAAGGGTTAGTTTCTGGCGAATCAACATGGGTAGAGGCGGTGGTGGTAGTGGAGGCGGAACGGATGACGAGAAGACGTGGAGATGTGAAGGACTGAGCAAGGGAGAAGACAAATAGGCGGTCCGCCCCCCTCCTGAACCGCCGCCTTGGAGCAATCGAGGTGCAAGGGTTTGAAATATTTATCAGTTATTTAATTTATAATGGTTTTTTTTTTTTGCGTTATGCTTTATGTTGTTCTGTTTTTTGTTGATGTCTTTAGTTTTATGTCAATAATTATAATTGACAAGTCTGCTAGATATTATGTCGTTAGAAGGATCTATATGACCATTGATTGTTGTGTCACACCCGCTTCGTGGTTAGCGATTCGTATTGCTCTTTCAGAGGGGATCGTCTCTGAGTCTAGCCGTAGAGTTGATAGTGCTAGCTAGTTGGTTAAGGATAGTTGTCAGGGTTGGTCTTTTTGAGTTTGATGTAACGATCTGATTCCTAATGATATTAATATAAGCGGTTTGTTATGATGATAAAAAATGAAATAAAACAACATCAACACTTCTTCCAAAAAAAAAAAAAAAAACGTCAACACATATTGCCAGGCCCGCAAGGGTCATAGGGTGGAAATTTGAAACAATGACTCCTCCAAGATCAAATTTTGCCAAACACTAGATTGAGAACAACCTCTTAATGTGTAAACCTCTTTTTAGGCAGTGCACCGTGATCTAACCTATATGTTTATCTGAGTTACCTAATTAAAAACAACTCATATACTTTGTCAGACCGGGACGTGGGGGCTCAGGGTTGGCCCTAGGGGGCACGGGGGCACGGGGGCCGGGGTTCTAAGCCCAAAAAATGAAAGAAATTTCGACCCATGTTTTTTTTAAAATAATAAGTGAGTAGGCTGATTTTCAATTCTAAACTAATGATTTGTCCAGCGTAACCAGCCCAGTAGGCCCAAGAATACAGAAAAGATGTCCTTAGATTTTATTGATTATGGTTTGATATGATTATTTGATTAGTTTATTAAATGATTTCACCCGTAGTTGATAGTTTGATTTCTTAATTATTGATTGTTATCCATTCAGTGTTGGTGCTATAATTTGTTGATTTATTAGGAAAAAATTTCAATTATAATTAAATTTAAAAATTTAAATATTTTCAAGGCAAAATAAGAATGATTGAATCAGGGTAGGAGGAAGAAAAATGAAGACTAGAGAAAGCGGCTCAAAGTAAAAAAAGGTTTAATAGAAAATTGTTTGTGTGAAGATGTGAAGTTCTTAATGTCCCCCTCAAGATGAAGACTCATAGAAGAAGAACGATTTAACTATCGAAAATGAAAAGGTTCAGAATGATCACGTCATAGGAGGGTGGGGGGGGGGGGGGGGGTTAATCAAGAGTCGATAATATTGGTTTAGATACAAAAAGGATTTACATATTTTTGTAAATGTATTTGAAATATTATTACTATTGTATGTTAGTTTAGACAGAAAATATTATTACTATTGTATTTGAATTTTTTTTAAGATTAAGCCTGTTTTAACTTTTCGCCCCTACAGTATACACGACCGGCCCCGTAGTATATTTTGGAACAACAATCAAATTGAGTTAATTAAGAAAAACATAATTGTGTGATAATAACTCAAACGGAGTTAAACGGACTTAAAAAAAACATAGATATGTGATAATAAGTCAAATGGTGTTAAGGAAGACATAGGTTTGTGATAATAATATTTCCATACATAGGTAGATTGAGTATCTACGTTACGTTTTTATATTCTTCTTTCAGAAAATAACTTTAAAGAGAAAAGGGGCAAATAAGCCCACGTACTAACAAAAAAGATCAAATAAGCCCTTATTGAGGAGGTTCTGTCTGACCGTCGCCATTTGGGGTGGTTCCTAGGAGAATTTTTTGATGAACTTTTTTGAGCATCTTATTCATTCAGTCTAGTTTACGCATACCAAATTTCAGCTAAAACTTCAATCGGGAAGGCATTCAATTGAATTCTTGAAAATAACGGTGCAGTTAAAAACACAGTTATCTTCAAGAATTCTTTTGAATGTCTTCCCGATTGAATTGTTAGCTAAAATTTGGTGTGACTAAACTAGACTCAATGAATAAGATGCTCAATAAATTTCATCAAAAACTTTCACCGGGAACTACCCCAAATGGCGATGGACGGACAGAGCCTCCCAAATATGGCTTATTTGACCTTTTTTTGTTAGTACATGAGCTTATTTGCCCCTTTTCCCTAACTTTAAATAATACTCCGTATCAACTATCACCAATAAATTAAAAATAATAATGACACTATTTTAGGAAGAATTAATTCAAACCGATCAGAACTTTTCAAAAGTAAAATTAAACAAAAATATACGGAACAACTTTCTCACAATAATCTTGTCATTGGGCCTATCAAAAATGATATTTCACTATCAGATACTACACTGGTCCCAAATTGATTTATCAAGTCAATTGTTTTAATCTAAACACTTTATTCTATTAACTTAAGTATGGAGGACACCATTTTTTTTTTTATATTATAATTTGAATTTTGCAATTTTATATAGATTTTAATATAATTTCCGAATATGTAAATTTTAATTAGTAAAATTTGATTTAGTTATCAATAAGGAAGATTTAGCTTCTGTCTTCCAACCATCTAAGATTGGATAATATAACATTGTTTGACTAAAAAGTGTTGAC